AAAAAACAACATTTTTTTTCCTTTTTATTCATTATTTTATTTAATTGTTTTTATTTGTTTATCATTATTATTTTTTATTTTCTAAAAAAAATGAGGGTATTCAAAATTTTTTATAAAAAAATGATTTAAATTTTTCATGGTGGGTTTAAAAAAAATTTTATGGGCGGTAGCACGAGTGAAAAATGGTAATTTTCTGCTAAAAAATGAAAAAAATCATGTATTTATGAAAAAAAAATTGAAATTTTTGTTTAATTATATGCTTTTTTTTTTTGACTTAAAAAATTTAAAGACTTTCCCTTAAAATTTTGTGTACTGGCGAAATTTAAAAAAAAGTGTCCGGCAAAACCAGTGAAAATACGGAAAAAAATGTTTAATGTGTGAAAAAAAAAATTTTTAGTTAAAATACGGAAAATGAAAAAAACGCTTTTTTACATCAAAATTTTTCAATATTCATTTATAAGTATATAATAAAAATTTTATATTTGCGTAGTTTTTTTTCCTAAAAAAGTTGATAAATTTAAAGTAAATTTGATTTCACTTTAGTAAATGATAAGTATTTTGTAAAAAAGAAACTGAAATTTACAATAATATGTTTTTTACTGCTTGAAAAATTGATATCAAAAAAACAGTTTTTTTTAGCTTTTAAATATTTTTTTTAATATTTGTTTTATTTACTAATATTCTCCTTAAAAACGAGATGATGGAAAAATTTAAAAAAAGTAACGAATTGTCACCAAAAAAAAACAAAATCTTGCCTTATATTATTACCTCCATTTTTCATTTTATACCACTTTATTTAAAAAAGGGGGTAAAAACCATATATAAAAACTTTTCATCTACATAAATAACAATTCGGGAAAGAATACTAAAAGCCCCCGAGGAAAGCAATGAAAAAAAAAAGCATGTATTGAACAAAAATTTCCATATGCGAAAAAACCCAAAAAATGAATTTTGGAAAAATTTAACTGCTTTTCGGACAGTTTATTTACCCCTTTCAAAAAAGTTTTTAAGAAATAAAAATAAATTTTCTTTATTTTTCTTTTTGCTTAAATAAAATGGTGTTATCCAAAATGAAACTCCCCCCAAAACAAAAGATTTTCCCAAAATTTATCCCCCTTTAAAAATAAAAAACCAAAAAATTTTAAAAAGAAAAGGGGAAAAATTTAATTCCCCCCCAAAAAACGGAAGGTACAAATTTCCTTTGAGTTTTAGGGGATTAAAATTTCCCCAAATCTTTTCTCTCCCCTTTTCCTGCAAAGTAAATTTGTTTTCCCGAAAAAAATAAAAAATAAAAAGGTAAACCCCCCCCCCGGAAAAAAAAAAGAAATTTTTCCCTTTTTTATTTTTGGAAAGTTTGGAAAAAAAAAATTAAAAATTAAAAAATTAATTAAAATTTTTTGGGAATTTTTTAAAAAACTTTAAAAAAAAAAACAAAATATTTAATGTCTGCCCCAGCAAAAAAAGTTAAAATTCAAGTTAAAAGTTTGGGGTGCAAATTAATTTTTAAATTGGGCTTTTTCCAACTAAAAATTTAAAACCCCCGTTCACTTTTTTAAAAACCCCTTTGAGTTGTCCCTGTTCGGGTTTCCCAAAAACGAGCTTTAAATGTAAAAAAAGTCCTAAACCCTTAAAAAAAATTTGTTTGGAAATTTAAGGTTTTAAAAAATTTAAAATTTAAAAAAAAAAAGTTTTTTTTTCTAAAAAACAAAAAACTTTTGGGGCTTTTAAAAAATTTTTTCCCCTTTTTTTTTTTTTTTAAAGCCGGGGTTTAAATTAATCTTTAAATTATTTTTAATTTTTTTTAAAAGGTTTGGGAGTTTTTTAAAACAAATGAAAATAAAAACAAAAAAAATTTTACATTTTTAACCCAAAAATTTTTAAAATTTAAAAATTTCAAGTCAAAAGTATATCGTTCAAGGTTCCCCGATCAGTTTAAACCCCCCCTGAAGGGGCTAGTCCCAAAATTTTCAATTTTGTCCCAAATATGAAAAATTTAATTTATTTGTAATCCAAAATTTTTCCAAAATTTTTAAAAAATTTAAAAATTTTAGAAAAGAAAAAAAAACCAGTTTAAAAATTTAATTAAAAATTTACCTTTCAAGGTCAAAAAATTCCCTAAAAGAGTCAAGGGGCAATTAGAGTTTTAGTTAAAAAATTAAAAGGAAATTTTTGTTTTAAAAAAAAGTCATTCCAAATTAAAAAACTGTTTTTTACCTATTTTCGCCCCCAAAAAAGAAAAAAATTTTTAAAATTTTTTGAATTCAAAGACAAGTTTCTTTATGAATTAAAATTCCAAAACCTTTGTGTGAATTTTGAAAAATAATTTTGCCCAAAAAAGAGTGTTAAAGCTTTAAAATTTTCTAAATTCCCAAATTTAAAGGGGAAAAGAAAATCAAAGATAAAACAAAGCAAAGCCAAATTTTAGAAATTTAACCTCGAAGGTCAAGGTCATAAATTAATGAAGGCCAAAGTTAGTCATGTCTTCTAAAAGATCTTGTTGCAAGGGTTGTGGTGAACAAGTATGTAGACAAACCAGTAAGAACTTATGAACAAGATTCAAGTTTGCAGATGGCAACGCCTAAGTGACTGTAACCTCTATTTCTTTTTTCTAAAAAAATAAAAAAAGAGAAAAATTGAGCTAAAAATGTATGGCATACATGTATATCAAAATATATAATCAAATAATACTTTTAACTTTGTTTACCACATTAAAGCTCATGATAGCACTTATAGTTGAACCCATTACTTCATGAGCATTTTGTGAAAAATGGCTATTATCATTGAAAAGTCTCCCTTTCAAGTTCAAATTGCTATAAAACTATAAAAACTGCTTCTATACTAATTAAACTTGTAACAAATGTAGACTTCACCATTGCCTTTGTAACAACATGCTCAGGCTGGCTTTGATTTCCTGTTACCATGTTACCATGGCAACGAGGAGACATCTCAAAATAGGGAGGGGGTCGAAAATGCGTTGTTTCGCGTATATATGAGGTAAAGGGTTACAAAAAATGATTAAAATACCTGAAATTACCCAATATTGCGTTTTTCCATGTTAAAACATGGCCTAACATATAATTTGAATACAAATTGGTGATTTGTAGAATTTTTAATTTTTTTCATTAACCCATCACTTCATGAGCATTTTGTGAAAAATGGCTGTTTTCATTAAACAGTCTCCCGTTACAAGTTCAAATTGCTATAAAACTATAAAAACTGCTTCAATACTAATCAAACTCGGCACAAATGTTGACTGGACAATTGCCTTTGTAACAACATGCTCAGGCTTAAATTTCCTTTTACCATGGCAACGAAGGGGCATCTCAAAATTGACAAAAATTACTAGTCGTTGTTTCGCGTATATATATGGTAAAGGGTTAATATAATGGATAATATGTTGCACATATATTAAAAATAGAGTCTTTTTTCTCACAAAATGTTACAACATACATTGAGTCATGACAAGTGAATCAAGAGAATTTTTGAAACAAGATAGATACAGTCCTGCATCTAAAAAGATCTTTCATAAAACTATCATGAATACCAGGTATTCAATGTAAGTTTTAATATGTTTCAATGCATGATAGATGATTGAAATTGAGACAGCATACTCCACTTTTGAGGAACCTATATCTTATTTTATACTTATGTATATGTAGGTCAAGCCTGCTTAAAAGCAAATATATCTCAAAATCAAAGTGACGTCACATTTATAGGACAACACAACCGTGGATAGTTAAACATGCTTTGAAGAAATGCCTGCTCTGCTAGTCAATAGTTCTTACCCTCTTTGAGTCACGTGTGGCTAGTCTTTTACACAGCAGTGTAATTACAATGCAAGTTGTACAGCTTATCTTTCCATTTACGCAATAAATTAAATGTGATTGGTAAATAACATTTTCTTCCACTCAAAATATAATTATTTTTCTTTCTTAAATAATATTTAAAAGATTGTGTTTGGCCATATAAAACGATATTGCATTGATGATAACATGCGCCATGAATTCGTAATGGATCAGACTCAGTTGAACTTTTATTTAACAGTTTACTGTAAGGTACGAAATTACAGTGAACGAAAACTTAATGTACAGACGTGGATCTGCAAGCGAAATTTCTTGATCATATATCAATACAATTTAAAAAAATAAAAACAATATTTTTGTTAATATATTCATAGGTGAACTTATTCATATAAGTTAGACCAAAAAAATTAAACGCAAACAAAAAAACACCTTTTATCGCCTTTACCTTTCCGAATCTGAAATCTTATTTCTCTTGTATACGTTTTACACCTTGCGTAATATCCGGCATTATTTTGGTTTGATAATTATTCATACAGTATATATCAATCACGTAACTCCGATCCAAACATTTACGGAAATAATCGAAGGGCTTCCCGCCAAAAGATAAAATTGCATTTTTTAGAATGGCCAGAAATGTTACACATAGCGTTTCTATGTTGAAAACTGTGTCAGTAGTAAATTATGCATTTAATAACAATAAGGTGTTAATTTGACAATTTATGTTCATGAATTTGAACAGGAATATAACTTTAATATATGATAGGCCTGTGGTTTGATCCCTACACCTACTATTGCCATTGTTTTAGATCTGCTCTTTCTTTTTTGCAGTAAAGGAAATGGGAAGTGCTTGCAAAATTGTCTAGATGAAACAACTAAAAACACTGTTTTGACTCTTTTGAGATTGTATTTTACGACATTGAAATTACTTTTTTGATTCTTATCCGATTTAACTCTATTGTGCTCTAACTCTCAGTACAACTAATTTATTGGCACGAATTAAATTTTATCTTATCTTAATGAATACATCTCATGAAACTAACCGAAAATGTATCCAAGATACATATAGTTTGTGCATTGACCGTATAATCAGTATGCAATTGGCATGTTAATGAAATCAAACAGTCCTCGCAGTTTACATATTAAGACTGTTTGTAAAGAACGGAAATTGTATGATATAAAAATAACTGTGTTTGTTTTATTTTGTCTATCAAAATATTAAGTTTACTGATATTAATATTACCTTTAAAATATATTTTAGTCAACCGGATAACTGGGTTATAAGGATATATAAATTAAATCTTACATAATATATATATCTTTATTATAGCTGTATGAATCCCCGCTACCACATGATTTGATGTACATGTGCAAACTCTGTCTTCATCACGTTTTGCCAGCCACTGTAAATTTAATCCTACCTCCTCATTCCTTTCAAACTCGAATTGTGTTCCAGTGCAGTTCCATGATAGTTTTGGGGGCGGGTAACCCCCAACGGTTATGCATGTGATATTACAATTGCTGTTTTCCTTCAATTTGTAGTAACTGTTATTGAAAGCTTTGTCAATATAAGGACCTCGATTTGGAGCATCTGGAACAAATAATTTTTATAAATAAATCAATAAAAACAACAACAAACTAAAACAAATTAAGCATTATAATAGTCAAGTAAGTTTATTTAGAAATTCAAAGAGCGGATAACAAAATACGCAATATTGAATCCTCTAAAATCTCTGTTTCACTAAAATCAGTAAGATTATTATCTCGTGTAAAGTACTTGTAGTCTATTCACTCTTACAAAAATTAAACCATAAAATACCAGTAGTATTTGGAAAATTTACAATATGCACCTTTATAAAAATTATATATTTAAAATGAAAGTGGGTTCCTCTAAAAAAATACATTTAATAGTTGGGTCATTTAAGGTAAATATGTGACCAGAAATTTTACTTACAAAATACATGAAGCGTTATTTTTCGAGAGACAACATTTGATCCTAAGCCATTTGCACCATTACAAAATATTTTTGCTCCCTGTTTTTCTCTAGTGACACTTATGTTTAGCTGACTTCTAGTAGAGTTATACCCTTTGTCGTCAGATACGATTTCGACAGAACTAGCTGTGTTTATTGGACTTGTTTTATCTCCAATTTGCATTAACCATTGAACAGATGGTGTTGGTCTGCTGTATGACGTTTTACATATGAACAATTCATAATTATTTTCTAATACTGTTACATTGCTATCGCTTGGCGTAGTAACTTCAATTTTTTCCACGGGAACTGAAAAGAAAGATATTTTGAATTCAGTAAAAAAGATGAAGCCATTTTTTTGAATTCCTTGCTTGACGTTATTTGAATTGATGATCTAACCTTTTTTGTGACAATAATAATTATAGTAAAGAACGTTATTAAATTATGTAGTTATGCATATTTGAACATAGTCTATTATACAACAATGTATATTGTTATCTAAGTAAATATCAACATCTAAATTATTGCCATTAATTAAAAGTAAAACATTTTTAAACAATATTTATAATCTTTAACATTGACTTTGGTAGTACGGACCTGGATTATATGCGCAATAAGTCTCACAATGGTGAACATTTGTGACAAGTTATATTAAAATCCCCAGATGAATGTAGACGTACGGCTCCAAAAACAAGCATTTTGCAACGACCTCTAAGTGTAATCTTAACCATTAAACTAACAATTTGTTTCATGCACGTGACACAGCTTCTCATAGTAAACCTTTCTATGACGATTCATAAGAATTCCACCACGTGTGGAAGAGATGCTGTGGACAAAATTTTTATATTTGACTTTGACATTGACCTTGCATAATAAATTACATGTTTTACACCAGTAGTTATTATAATGACCAACTGTCTTTCGATCTCTCAATAAATGATGATTAAATATTTTTCAGCCTTTGGAAACAACAGAACATTACACAACTTGCCATTATTCAGATTAAAATCATAGAAGACTTCCGTAAAAGAGTAGAAACATGATTATCTAACAGTTCTTCTTCATCATACTTTCGGAAAAAATAAACACTCCATATTAGTAAGTGACGTAATACAAATTCAAGATGACGTACCACGTGCACAATGAAAACTGGCGAAAATTAGATCAGACAGTGGTGTTACCAATATAGACTGATAGTGAAACTTATTCCTTTGGAAGTTATACAACTTTAACTATGAAATAATATTCATGAAAAGGCACACTTAAAAAGACTGTGTTTTAAAGCTTAATAACGAAAATAACCAAAATGTTTTTACCAAATGAACTACTTAGAGACAAAACATACTCATTTAAATTACGCGTTAATATCGTATGCTGATAAGTTACTTCTGAACATACTGCTTAAATATTCGTATAAACTTTGTGTAATAAGATTAACATTTCGAGGCCCCCAGTATGTCCCCAAGATATCTACATATTTTCGCTATCACCTATGTTACGTATTACCGCGCTATTTGACGTCAACAGCTATTCTGACGTATGTTGTTATTGTTGTTATATTACTATTGAGATGTTGCAAACATTGAATCTAGAGTAAATACAGATCGAACCTACACAACGCCTTTGTATTAATATTTCCAATAATTATGCCCAAATTTACATATCATGGAACACAAACAATGACACATAATGTTATGACCAGAGCTGCATTACTGGTACTAGTACAGGTACTGCAGTACGTACTGCAGCGATTTTGCAAGTATTGGTACTGATACTGAATTACTATTACAAAATTTTGCTACTACTGGTACTGGTACTGCATTACTGTCTCAAAAAGTGGTACTGCTACTGCATTACCCAGTACTTTTGGTTTTGATAAAAAATAAAAAAAATAACATCAATTTTTCTCATAAAATAAAGCTGTAAATTACATTAAAATTTTACTATATATTATTTTTGTGAAAAAAAGTAGGTTATCAAATCTAAAGATAATTTGCTTCAAATGTTAACATAGTATTCATCATAAAAAGCACCAAAGACTAAGTAAAAATCAAATTAAGATAAACAGACTCAATAACTCTTTACCCTAAATTATCCTTATTAAAATTTTTTATTACTTTGTATTTACTAGTAAAAGAGCAAAATAAACACTAATTAATTTCTTCTATTCTAATAATCCCATTTCAAGTGAAAAAAGTGATATTGTTAGCACCATAAAAAGTTGTTATTTACTTTGGTATAAATTGAACAAAGGTGTGAAGGTGTGAAAGGCAACAAAAGACTGTTGTGTTTTAAATGAAAGATGTATGCATTGTATTTATACAGTTGACTGGTTACTAAACAATTAGATAGGACATGAATATATGTTGTAAATATTGTTTGTAAAAAGTATGTAAAACCTACATGTATAAAGTTGTAAATATGTTATGTTTACTTTAAAGTAAATTATGATTTTATTTCTTTGCTGAATAATATTAGCAATTATTTGTTTGACACTGTATTTATTCAAACTTTGATGAATATATAAAAGTAATGGTACTGATACTTAATTACTTCACCAAAAAAAGTACTGGTACTGCAGTACCTAGCTAAAATCTAGTACTGGTAATGGTACTGCATAATTTGCCAAGTACTGGTACTGGTACTTAAGTACTACACCCTTAGTACAGATGCAGCTCTGGTTATGACTAACAGGAAAAGAGCAAAATTCACTCAAATTCCTTGGTTACTGTTTATGAAACTGTATGATAACAGTAAAAACATCCTTTTAAAATTTAGTTTGCACTGTCTGAAGTTTATTTATCAAAACATGATCTTTACTTAAATTTGCTAGAAAAGAGTACATACTATTTACAAAATTAAAGTATTTAGTATTATACATTTAAATCCTTCATAATCATGTTAATTTTAGAGACATTATGAACGTATCTAAAATTATCACTCTGAAACCTCAATTTTTATCATTCTTAATAACAATTCTATCCGGTCCTGACTTTCAATTGTTTCTATATCAAGACGTGGCCAACTAAGATTGAGGTAATGCTAATGACTTAATTACAACATTTTTACAAATAAGGGTAATAAAACGTCTTGACAAATGAGTAAATAACTTATTAATTTTCTCCTGTTAAGATAAATAATCGGCTTGAATCTTGTTATTCAAATTAATGGTAAAAGTAATAACAATTGACTGAAAGCATTCGGATTTCCACTGAATATTTAAATACAGGATAATATTTGAGTATTCCTTTTTCCACGGATTTATATTACAATTTTTTGTAATATAAATCCGTGCTTTTTCATAGAACCAATTCTTACTGCTTTTGTTTTATCTTTTTTAATGCTTAGACCCGCAATTTTAGCATAGAATATTTAAAACTTGCAATGCGTGTCTTAACAGTACCATCAAGCATTATAGTTGTATCATCAGCATACTATGATAATAAAAATTCAGAGTTACATGTATTAAGTTTGATACCTTTTATCACTCGTATAAGTGATCACATTATAAAAATTTTAAAGTTATACGGGATCGCCCTGACGACAACCACGTTGTACTTGACAAAAGTCCAGCAAATATCCATTTATTGTAAAACAAGAATGAATGTTTTTGTAAAGCAATTTTACCCAGCGTATGAAATTTTCACCACTGTTCAAGAACTCTAAAAATGTGTGCATAAGAAACCCATGGTATAGAATCAAAGACTGTTGCAAAGTCAATAAGTAACAACATTCCAGGAATTTGATAAATATTTGTATATTGCATAATATCAGAACTAAGTCTTTTATTGTCACCCATGAAGCTTCTAGATAAGAAACCAGTTTGCTAATTTACTTATAAGTTGAGCTAATACAGCTATAAGGCGTTGCACAAAACTAGCTGATGCAAATTACAAGAAACATTTAATCAAGAAAAAGGTCTCCAGTTTTTTATATTATGCTTGTCTTTGGTTCCTTTAGGGATGCACGTTAAAACCCCTTGTTTAAAAGTATCTGATAATTCTCCTGAAACGAAAGCTTGCTAAACTTCTCTTACTAGATCCCACTAGATCCCTCCCTAAAGTGGATGTGTTCCGTATCCTTTTTAAAAGCACTGTGTAAGAATCATTTCATTGTAACTTGGTGAACTTATTCTAAAATAGCACTGCATTACTGTAAAACATCAACAAAGTAAATCATAAAGATTTTTCATATATTTATATCTATAAAACAGTGAGACAAAACATGCCTAAGGTGTGTTCACCTCGAAGAAATCTATGAAGAAAAAAACAAACTTTACTAGAATGTTCATGGTTTTCAAAAAACTGAGTTACCGTGAATGCATGTAGCTTATATGATAACGGATGCTCTGCACCTTATCTGATCAAAATCGGTAGAGTAACAACATTTTTTAGATTAAAAATCCTTGAAACGATTGAAAATTAAGCGAAAAGTAACATGTTATGGCCACATTATACTTTGCAAAGGCAAATCAGAAATGCAATTGATCAAATGTGTGATACAACGTCATGGACACCGCTAGATTACGACCAGTGAATCTAAAAATGCGCATGACAGGGCACTATTTACATAAATCAACAAACAAAACCACGCTCGGTGTTAAAAGCCAAACATGTGTGTACAAATCAACAGTTTAACACACACACGCACAAAAACCGTTATTTTAGACAACTGAAACGTTCACTCTACTGTAGATTGTAAGGAAACTAAGCATGTATATGATAATAAGGAAATACTGCTAATGCAATGATTTAACCCTTACCTTTTCAATATTATTCTACGTTTTTAACAGTTACATTACTATTTGTTTTTACTTTTTGCACGATTGCTTGAATCTGTTAGTGTTAGGAAATTAATTTTTGAGAGAAATACGATATTCTTTAAATTGCAAACAAGGGTTAGAAGAGGTAAATGGCTGTGATAATTATTAAAACTGATTAAATGGCACATCTTAGAAAGTTAAATCAAATCTAGGCCTTTGTTTATAATACACTTTTTTGTTGAGGAGTGGTTTGGAGGAGAACCATTCACTGTTTTGTTCGTGGTTTTAGGAAATGATTTATGCCTCTTGTTACCATTATGTATACTTTGTCGTTTTCTTTACAATTTTATTTACACCATTTACATTTTCTATTAAAAAACAAATGTGCTGACGAATTAAACTTTATGTCAATAGCAAAAAACATATAGACCTAGAAACGAATATTAATTTTTTCATTAGAAAGTGGCGCTAATGTGGACTACTTGTCATAAATAACGCGAAATGTAAGCAAACAAGTGTTTTGAGTTCCATTCATTTTTACTGTCATATTTCCAAAATAGCAAAAAGAAAACTATTTAAGCTTTTTTTGAAAAAAAAAAAAAAAAAAAAAAAAAAAACAACAAAAAAAACAAAAAAAAAAAGAGCTCCGCTAATTCGGGCAACATACGCTCGATTAGACCTGAATATCTATCCTGCTCTCCCTAATATCCGTATTAGTTCGTTGCATGGTAAATAAAAACATCGGCCGATATGCAAATTTGCAAATTTACTAGCTGTAAGAAAAGTGTAATGTCCACCAACTTAGTACTAAAAATATCCGATTCCATCAGCTTTAAACGTGAATTGTAAATATGTAATCAAGTTGTTGATTAATATAATAATTATATGTTATATAATTGTGTACAGTGTGTTGGGCATAAAATTGACTTTTTATCATTATAGTGTTTTTCATATTGTTGACCAGTATTTGCATTTTATAGCTATAAATAATGTGTTATATAAATTGTTGAATGCCTTTGTTGATGCATTTAGCAGTATGTGTTTTATCTAAAGTCTTAAGAATTTTAATAAAGTTGTTTGTTCTTGGTGTTGTTTTGTTTCTGTTTTTGTTTTGGTTGTTGTTTTTTTTAAACGGTCATTACAAGTTAAGTTCATGTCGTAATGCTGAGAGAGTTATAAAGACATTCTTTGTATATGAATTGCTATATTAAAATAATATTACATGTATAAAAAACTTAAATAAGATAATCATAAGATCTGTCTACAATACAATAGTTCTTGTCAGCTCTGTTTGATAATGAATTTTTTTATCTTTTTACAGGTTGTGAAAACTATTACACTGGAAATAATAACTTCTAAAATAAATATGTTAAATTTCACTGGAGTACAAGAATGAACTAAAACGCCTGTTTAAACTTCAGATAAGCTATTGAAAAATGTCTTGGTATACTAGGACAAGTTGGCATTCAACATTATTATCTTCACACTACGGTGCAAACTTAACGCTTCAATACCATATAATTTCAACATCGTTTATTTTACAATTTTAACGTTATGAGGTTAGGACACATACAATTGTATGCATACTCGGATATGTGGGAAGACGGAAGAAATCTATTTGAAGGAAGACGATGCAACGTATGGAAGGTTTTATCTCTCGATGACGCCATCTTGGATAATAGTATTTCAATGCGGTTGAAGACATACAGTAAGGCATAGTTGCCCATTACTTCTTAGGGATCTTAACTTTTCCAAAATTTAAACCTTAACAAAAGCAGGTGTTAAGTCCGTAAGGAAGCTGTGAAACAGTTGTCCCGTACTCTCACTTTAGTCTTGTTTTATTTGTCTGGTCCTTCTACGCCACTGATTCCAGCACATTTCGTGTTGAAGATTGAATTTTGCCTAACCTGATGCAAAGGGGGTCTGAGAGATATTATCCCTCATTAACAAACTCAATATGAACTTTATATTGTAATTTTGTCTTTTTATTGCTTCCTAGAAATACCCCCTTTTTCGAGATTTAATACTTCACAGCAGATGCAAAGTTCGGTGTTGAAGTTGTAAAAGTTGTTCAGTACCTCAATGTTGCGTTGATATATTTGATAAAAACCAATTTAGTGTTGACGATTGAATGCCGCTTTTTTTTTTTGTTGTTTTTTTTTTTGTTGTTTTTTTTTTGCTTCCGAGGAATCTCCCCTTTCCAAATCTTTTCGTAAAGTAATTATTAAATTCCAATTGAATATATCAGTAAAAATGCATTGTACATTTTTATGAATATTTTGACTGTCCTTTCACTTAATTTGTAATGTAATAAAGATGTTGAATGCATAAACATACAATTACATTTTAGTATTCTCTAAAATAAGTATTTACAGTTTATCTCCTATGAAACGACTTGCTTAACATGTAAAATAAAAAAGCATAAAAAATACCTTTCACATTGATAACTACTCGATTACTAAACGAAAATCCCTGCTTGCACGTCCAAATATTTCCATGTTGTGACCTATCTACTTTAATCAACGTTAAAGTGAAGCTTCCATTTATATGACAATTCCATGAATATAATAAACTGTTATTGACAAAGCCGAATGCCTGACATGTGCCGTCCTCTGATTTGTATATACGCGCCCAGATGGTACTGCTGTCATCATTATTTATGCCCCATGCTGATACGTCACCAGTTAATAAGCATGTCAAAGCGACACTAGAATTTTCAATGACATCAACAGTCGCCGGTGTTAATTCTAGTAGGAATACACCTGTAAAATAAGATTAAATACAAGTATAACAGTATAATAGTTATATATATACTATATATATATATATATATATATATATATATATATATATATATATATATATATATATATATATATATATATATATATATATATATATATATATATATATATATATATATATATATATATAAAGGTATTATAATAACTTTAAATGATATATAGACAATGAAAAAAGCCCTGCATTTATCTCTTCTTTCACAAACTTTTTTTATGTTATCCAGTTGTTGTTATTTTGCAGGAATACAATTATTATAATAACTTTTAAAGGAAATCTTATCATTTTACTGAGCTTAATTTAGCATGTCAATCTTTGCTACTTGTGATAGACCTCAATAAGTTTAAAATAAGTTTTATCAAATTATTTAATTTATAATGTAAGCGGTGATCATGATATTATGGATAAGATGAAACTGTAAGTTTTAAGAGTTTATGTTTCGAGATTTAAATATTGACAGTAAAATTAAAAAGTAATTTGGAAGACTATTCTGAAGTTTCTTAAGGATATTTATGTGTAATTCGCTGAACTTAATATTTGCTAATTTTTTAATATTTCACATAAATTATAGTAATATACTCGTACATACTTTTTAATTATCGTAAATAGCAATAGCATAAGACTTTAATAATTTCTTATACTTTATGTATATAATAGTGTCAGCGACAATCTTTACAAATTTTGAGCATCTGGGCTTTCTCTTCTATTGATTTAGCCGCAAAAAATGCACAATTTGCATGGAATATAGAAATTGATCCGCCCGTCAGTCTGACCGTAAGTAAAATGTTAACATAAATTAAACCGGCAAGTTGTATTATCTAAAGTTCTATCAGTACCATTCGCTTCTTTCTTACACACAATGTAAAGTATATGACCTAATTACATAACGATTGCTTATATTTTTTTCAAGTTATTTCCCTTCATATAACTTTAAAAATATGGTTTACCTAAGTCGACATGATAAATAGAATTTCAAGTTCTACCTGATCAAATAGCTTATAAATTTATATAATTACTAATTAATACAAACGGATACGGCCAGGGTGGGTGGTTATCTGTATTTGTGTGGAGTATGTGCTCATTTAGGTCAAAGTCAAGATCACCAATGTCAATTATGGAAGATTTTATAATTTCCTTATGATGGCTTTTTATTGGCAGGTGTCTGTTGTATTCAGCAGGAACATTATGTGGGTAGTTTCATACGTTTCTACGCTTGAGTGGAGTAAGGGGTCACTGGGACCAGACTTCCACAGTTTTGCTTACACAATTTTACATTTATTGCCAGATGTCTTTCATACTTCGTTGAAGGCTATTTTGGTAGTATGCATCCTTTGGGTGAAGTTCAGGGTTGGTTTTTTACGGTAAGTACTCAAACAGTATTTAATTATTGAAAAATGTACTTTATGCTATACGTGAGCATACCTTGGATGGTCCAGATTTTGAACATACATGAGTTCAACGTCGCCTGCGTGAACAATATATATGTTTTTTCTATACTATAAAACTTAAAACTTATAAATCTATTCTAAAAGCACAGCTTATACAACCTTAAGTTTGTGACCAATGTCTTTCATATTTTTATCAGAATATAACTTTGGTAGTTCACTAATTAAGTTCGAGTTTTGGACCAGTTGTTTCAAGGTCAGTGTCATGTATTTATCTATCTTTGATTTATTTTTATCGGTAGGTAGAATATTTATTAACTTCACCAAAAAGCAATGACATGCCAATTTACAATGACAAAAAGGTAATGACTTAAGTTAACAATTACGTTTCATATTGTGTTAACTTATTATTTTTTGGAACTTTTCTCCCAAAAAGGAAAAGTGGTAATATTACCACGCGTGTGATTATTGCGTTGTTGCGTAATAATCACACGGTAAGGGGTAGTGCCGTTAGAACCGCGCATACAGTCTTAGATTTACTCCAAAATAGTTAAATCATACACCATTTGATTTCAAATGAATTCTGCATTTAATGCTATAATTTTTGTGGGAATTAATTAATTTTCTAACACACGGGGGTGTTTTAAAAAAACATTTATGCAGCGATTTTTAAATAATTATGACAACCTTCGTTATGAATAATTATATTTAGGTTCTGATAAATATTTTTTTAAGTTTTAGTTCTACTTTTTGATGTGTCATATTAATTGTGTTTTCACTTAGTGTTCAGGACAGTTGTGATTTTTATTATTGATAATAGATAGCTATGCGTGTTTGTTATATTTGCCAGGGATGTAAACAGACAATCATTGATGTGTCATTTTGCCTTAATTAGAATAACATTATCTTAATAAATCGAAGTGTTTGAACGTAAGTTAAACATTACATAAGGGTTATCAATAAAAGTGCAATCAGATAGAGCTACTTATATTACCGAAATGTATAATTTGTATTAGAAATTAGAATAGTGCACGTGTTCGATTATATCGCGCCGATGTAACAACGGTCTTGTTACGAAATTATATTAATTTAATCAAACATATTTGAAGTATGTATAGTATAATACTATTTTCTCCGGAATCAATTTTGTGTCTACATGTGTTTTAAGCTGAAGGTTTATGGAAACTTTCATAATGTTTTGATGTTAAACAAACTTGATTTCTAAAAAAATGTATAAACTGCCTGCGACAGTTAAAGCTGTGATAATCATAGCATGGTTTTATATTTAACCAAACATACTAGTAGAATAAAACATATTGTTTTCCAAAATGAATTGTGTCAAATATTTGTCTTTCTTTTTTACGTTTGTTATCCAACACACAGGAGCATCTTGAAAAAAGTAATTGCAGGGAATTGGAAAAAAAACAAGCGTCTAATTATAAATTTGATTTATTTTTCTTAGATAAATTATACTTGCTCATGTCAAAAAATATTATTTAATGATAAAGAAATATTTTTAACTAGATCGAAATTATTCCTTACACCCATTTATTGACAAATAGGGGTGTTGATAATTCTTGTATAAAAGCACATTATTTATCGCCTAAATCTTTTACCACCTGATAAATATTTTATTAGCATAATGGCGTAGTGCTTTGTGGGTGTAGAACTTGGAAAAGGCAATTTATACACTTTTTTTAGTTGTTGTTATTTTTCAACAATCCGTGAATTCCATTTCAGAACATTGTATACACACATTCGCATCCAACAGGTTAAGTATAAGACAACACACTTGTGATAAATGGGCAACGGAAAAATATATGTACAAACACGAATTTATATTGTAATATAAATCCGTGGTACAAATGAGCCAAATTGCTAAAGAATACGGAGTTTCAAACTGAATATTTTTATAATTGATTATTATTAAAATTACGTCCCCTTTATAAAACTACCTCATTTGATAACTGTTCACGAGTGTACTGTATACATATATAAAGTTATAGCTTGGAACATATTTATTTAATACATACGTAAGGAAAGGGAGTTCATTGTCGTAAGGTAACAACAGTTTTTGATTAGAAGGTTATTAATAGATATTTAAGGTCACGGGGTTAATGATTATACAAGCAAAGTAAACCATGAAACAGAAAACAAATTTCAACATTTGAATTTTACCTGAGTGTGTTCAATAGTTTTAACAATTTATTAAGTGGTTCTCTTCTGTGACCAGCGTGTGATTATTACGCGGCGGCGTAATAAGGACACGGTTAGTTATGGGAAGTGGCGTGATAATCACACGCACGACTTTATAATTAATCAGTTTAATCCGAATTATACATATTTTCTTCTAAAACTAGTTTTGCGTTTAATGGTTAAATTTTTTCAGAATACTACTATTTGTACAATTTGTTTTATTTCCACGTTTCGTTATAATCACACGGTTGGGAGTAGTGCCGTGATAATAACACGTACTGTCTGATATATTCTCCAAATAACACCAAATATATATCATTTTATTCCAAAATGAATTTCGCAAATAATGGTACATGTATAACTTTTGTGCGAATGCTATGTGTTCCCAAAACGCGGGAATGTATTAAAAAGCACATTTTACTGCAATTTTCATATAAACATATAATTGTGTTTTATTTTTTTTTCTGCATATATTTTATGCATAAAAAACCACCAGACGTTAAAAGATATTTGATTTAGTGCAGTTTGATAAAGTGCTCAAGATTATATTCTAAATCAAAGCACTGCAAGCACTGAGGTATACATTGCCTGACATTACGGTCTCTATTTGTGTCATCAAAACCATGTTGATTTCGACTGGCCTCAAAATCCATAGAGGCCATCTTCTGGCTACGTTCAATGTTCTTAACAAGTTACACAAACCTAAGCTTATTTCTTTTCAAGTTATTAATGGGTCAAAGAAAAAGTTTCGTTCCTACAGACTAGGGCTGTATTTTTCCAGGCAATTAAGACACTAGACTATATGGTTTGCAAAACTGAGCAATACAGAAATCAGTTTGCGAAACACCTGTCTATTATCTACATCATACAATATTGGAATAGTAAAACGGAGTCTTCAGTGATATTTTTTATTACTATAAAAAACTATAAAATGTGGAAATGAATCATCCAGCAAGACTAAAATGTTACATGCTAAACACACACACTGGAAAGAATGCACGCCATAGTTTTTACTATATCCATATAAGGAAAACCTATGACCACCTGGTAGAGCACATTTTGACCCCCAGGGCTATAATTTGAAGAATCTTGGTCAAGGTCTACACAAGTGAAGGTGTCATGCCAAATATCTAACGTCTAGCCTTTGTACATTCAGAGAAAAAAACATTTTTTTAAGTTTGTACTATATATACACATGAGGAAAACACCTATGACACCCTGGGACAAATTCACTAGTGCCAACATTTGAACAACTATGATAGAGGATCTACTGATGATATTATATACCCAGTATCTAAGCTCTAAGCCTTTAACCTTCAAACAAGAATATTTTTGTTAAATTTACTATATACATATAATAAAAAACCTATATATATTTGACC